GTATATTAATGAATTGGAAACAACATACGTAATAACAGTTCATTTTATTACTTGAAATATGTTACCATATGGCTGTAACAGGAAGGAGAGGATTTAGCCACAAAATTTAATTCACGAGAGTTTCGAGTTTGTAAGAGAAAAAAAAATCAATGGGGGTATTATTTACGTTTTTGCGCAACTCTAAAATTATCCGGTTGAACAAAGAATGAATAAGACGTCCGGCCGTGGTTAATGCGTTCCAGGAATTCGAGGAAAGTTTTCCCGTGCATGGCCCACAAAAAGAGCTCAGAAGACACTTCGAGAACCTCTCTTGTTATTTTCTAAAAATCGAACTTTAAATCTACGTATAAGCACAGATCCGCCCATGTCGGATTTAAATAGCTACGGTATTGAAAAACCTGGTAAAGTGACCTAGTTATATCTTTGATCGAAGTAGGTTGGAGAACCTCCACATTCGAGTTAAGCTCTCCCCGAGCTCTTTGTTCCTCGACGGCAATATAAAAATCAATTACATCACATAATATGAATTATTTATATTTTATTGAGATAAAGAAAAGTAATAAATGAAACAGTTGTAATTCATGTATTGGGACTGAGTAAGAAAGAACGAGGGAATCTTAGGAATTCGCGTCACACCTAGAAACAATGTCTTCGAGAAGATATTTGCCGTTGGAATCGAAAAAATTGCAAAGGTGCAACGAAACGTGGGCGATGGAAACCCACGGAATCCTTCTATCGTTTCTTTCTCATTTCTTCGATCGAGGTACCCCTGAACCGCACATGTATAGAAAAGACTGTGAACACGAGAGGCTCTATCTTTGCGAGCCGGCATTATTCGAGCGTTTCACGTGTGTCACGCGCGAGAAATGCAACTAGCTCGCCCACGCCGCGCCGTTTCGCGGATACTTGGTCCTGCAACAATGCGAGGGGTGTACGACCTAAACTTGCCACTGGAATAGAAATTCTCTTTCCCTTTGTAATGACTATAGGCACAGGTATCTGGTTTGTCAGCATTCTCTTCGCTTACTTATGCTAATTATTTTTGGTCTTTGTAAGTAGGTTTTGTTCAGATAACAAATAATCTCTTTGTGAATTGCTTTATTGTCCCTTTTATAACTTCCACAATGTAGCACTCACAAATGTCTTTAACTAGTAATTTATAAACAATAGTTGTTACCCAGAACGTGTGAAATCTTTGTCCATTGAATCATAGTCGGCGAATGACACAAGAAACGAGCCGTAACAGCCGTCGATCTCGTTTTATCGATGGTATGCGAGCAAAACGCGTGTCTGTTACACGTCTGAATTAACGAACCCTTAGAATCCAAATCGTTTCACAGTTCTACCGATTTCGAGGTGAGAATATTAGCTGGAAATTTCGTGACGTAATGGAAAACGATCGGTTTCCTCGTTTTATTCCGAGGGTAATCGCGCGAACGTTTACTTGTCCCGATTCTAATCGATGCTTGCAATATTGGTAAATTCTTTTCAAACATATCTTTTAGAAGCTTTGAATTAACGAGTGATCATTTTCACTCCTTTAATTTCGTAGAATAATCATTATGTAATTCGACAGTAGAGAAACTCTGAACGTTTTATAATAAGATTTCTACGAGCCTTATATTAGAAACAATTGGCAGATAGGAAAATGTATCATTTGATTATGATTTAAATATAAATGTAAAGCATTTGCTGGGGAAAGGTCGAGGTCGTTAGTGTCTAGGTACTTCTTTCTAGTCCGTACTAACTCGGACTTTCCGTACTAAGAAAATGACACGATTATATCGCACACTGTTTTCTCCTTACTTAACAGCAAGTAAGCAATTTTCACCATAATGACAGTGAATTTTTTGTTACGTATTTTTCTTTAATTTTTTAACAATATCTTCTTCCTTATTTGACATCAACTACTTGTGTAATATATATTTTCAATAAATTTCTATTAAATAGTTTACAGAATTTCTAGAATGTCAGTTCTTAAGAAGAAGTGATCGTAGATTCACTTTTTATTTGATGGAATAATATTGTATACAAATAATGAAAATATTAATTATTATATATGCTCATATTCCTTTCTTCTATTCGAAATGGAGGTAACGAAAGTTTGCTAAACTGTAGAATCTGTTCGCTGTCCGTGATGTCGACGAGAATTTAGAACGAGCTGTTTCTTTCTTCCTTTCGTGGATTAGTATGCATCGGAGAGCACGCGTTTCGTTCAAGTTCGCATAAAAGTACAGTAGTCGGGCGTGGCACCATGAAAGCCGGGAAAGTGATATCTCTTTGCCACCGGTGTGCTCTGTTCCATTCAGGAACGGAATAACGTTTCTGTTGCCCGGTCCCACATTTACTGTAAATTATGTTTTACAAAGCCCAAACGTTTTCACATCGAACTCTATTTCATACAGTCAATGTATCAAATATTATTCATATTATGAACTTTATATTAGAACTTGATGGTAAGAGATTTATTAAGAAGGAATGTATTTACATTTCATGTATGTTAAAAATAAATTGTATAACAAGAGTACATTTTACTATAGGAAAAAAATCGTGCAATAAGATTTCTTCTGCAGTTGGAACGTCTGTTGCGTAATTTTGAAATTTTTCGATAGCGTGAGACGTTTCGAACTTTCATTGGTTTCGTTTCTAAACACTTTCAAAATTTTTACCGGCAACCAGATTTTTCTATACACGCGCGCTTTCTTCAAGCCGTGGATCGTTTAATACACGTTTGATCCTTACGTGACCGGAAGTTAATTGTGACTCTTCTTATAAGATTATCATTCAAGGATAAAGAAAGACTCGATGGAAGGTTAAAGAAAGTACCGGGTTTTATCATTGGATAAAAAGTTTTATTTCAGTTCCCTATTGTCTAAGTGAAGTGTACACAATAGGGAAGTGATAAAACAAAACTTATTTAAGAATTTGCACGAGGTATCTATTTCTAGAATACATTCATAATACGTCAGAGAAAGAATAGAGAACAATTTTTATGACAGCTGTTTAAGTAAAATAGAGCGAAGTTATAAATGAAAAAAGATCTTTCCTTTCTTAATCTGGAATTTAAATTGAAATTAAAAAATCCTTTATTAATCACCAAATGAAGGATGTCTCGGCCGCAGTTCATGTGAACACAGGAATCTTAATCTCAAATTCAAATTAAAAAATTCTTTATTCTTCACTACGTGAAAGGATGGTTGAGCCGCTGCTCACAGATATTTTGATCTTGAAGAACATGAGTGCCGCTCTCTTACAGTGAGTAACAGAACAATTCATCGCTTGTTTTCTCTTACCATCTAAAGTTATGGCGCCTGAGAATCCTCTTTTTAGTTGATAAAACGATGTTAATGGCCGGTATTCAGAATCGTTGCTTATTCTTAAGATCGCCTTAAGCATTTGCTATCCCTATCTCATATTTCCAGTTCCTGACTTGTACAGGAAACAGGGACTTAAGCAAATGCTTAAGGTGATCTTAAATATAAGTAACGACTCTAGTAGTAACTACTACTGTCCAATGTCTTTACACGAAATAATCTTTGCATTTAAAAATATTTTCAAATCATGCTATGACTATAATTGCTATTAGACGATTTCCTATAGTTTTCAATAAAAGATACACAATAAAACTATTTGGTTCCTTACTAAGAATACGAAACTAAATACGATGGGTATAAGATAATAAGAAATTATAATTTAAAAAAAATGGATGCTTTATTTACGTTTAAGAAGTCAGCGTATTTAATACGAAGCGTAATGAGTTTGCGGTTAGCTGAAACAGATATAAAAGAAACAATTATTAAAAGATCAAATTACGTTTTCTTGAAGAAAAAACTGATTAAGGAAAGTAGGAAAGTACCTACCATTTGGCAACAGAAATAGGTTTACAAGAGTCCGACGGTCTGTCGTACGTGAGTCCCGACAAACATTGCACCAACTGTGGTCGTTTGTTCCTACAAACTACCACATTCGTACAAGCATCGTTCAACCTATGCACATGCCCATTTCTACAGGGAGTCGCGGCTAGACTAGGGGGGATGCTTTGTACCAGGGCCCAAGGATTCTCTATATGTTCCGGTTGATCAGTGACTGCTTCTTCCTGTGCATCCTGTTCTTTATCGATTTCCAGTTCAGTAACTTTCCGTTGATGCCACGGATCAGGTTCGTTTCTAATCAACCATGGATTTCCGGGATAAGGGGATGGCTGTGTTGGTCCATAAGATGGTTGTGACGGTCCATAAGATGGTTGGGATGGCTGTGGAGGCCAGGAGGGCTGAGAAGGTTGCGATGGCCCATAAGAAGGTTGTGATGGTTGCGAAGGCCAAGATGGTTGAGATGGCTGCGATGGTTGCGATGGCTGTGATGGTTGCGGAGGCCATGATGGTTGTGAGGGTTGGGATGGTTTGGACGGTTGTGATGGTTGCGAAGGCCACGATGGTTGTGATGGTTGGGTCGGTTGCGGAGGCCAGGAAGGACGAGAAGGTTGCGATGGTTGCGATGGTTGTGACGGTTGAGATGGTTGCGGAGGCCAGGAAGGTCGAGAAGGTTGTGATGGTTGCGATGGCTGTGATGGTTGAGATGGTTGGGGAGGCCAGGAAGGCCGAGAAGGTTGGGAAGGTTGCGATGGTTGTGATGGTTGTGATGGTTGTGATGGTTGTGATGGTTGAGAAGGCCAGGACGGTTGCGACGGTTGTGATGGTTGGGAAGGTTGAGAAGGCCAGGATGGTTGCGATGGTTGTGATGGTTGTGATGGTTGCGATGGTTGTGAAGGCCAGGATGATGGTGGTTGCGGTTCCGAAGGCGGCTGCGATGAAGGTGTCTGTGGGGAGGTGGTTTGAGGCGGGGGACTTGCTGCGCCTTTACAGTCGACGTTGTACGGGTAGTCGCAGACGCCTATTATCTGTAGGGTGATAAATTATGCTTGAAATAGTAGAATGTAGAAAATATAAATTCTATGACGCTCGGCCGTAGAGAAAGATTTCGAGAAGAGAACGATGCGCGCGAGAATATACATGCTGTATTTCAAAACTGTTGCCATGTCTACATTTGAGATTTGTTGCAAACATTTTGTAATAAAATATGAAAAAAGATTTAAATTCTCACAAAAAACTTTTAAAGAATATTTGAACGCGAGATTAATTTAATGCAATTTAAATTTCTTGGAAATCTCTTTTGAAAATGTTAAAGCTACATAGAATAATATAATTTATACCCAAGTACTTATAAAACATTGTTCGTAACGCTATTCGATAAGATCGCGAGATTTATGATCAAGCGATTAAGTAGAATGATAAAGCAGCGAATGTAATAACGAATTTAGTTTCAAGTAACGATAGCGGAAGTTTCAAGGGTGGCCTTTGCCCTTGAGCTCGAGTAAAAATTCTCACGCTCACGTGACGCGACTCGTCGTGTTTCGCGACTTAAAATTCCGCGAGTGTTCTAGGAATAACTCAAGAATGAGATTCTTACGTCATTGTAGACCAAGCCGCGTGGGCATCCAAACTTGATGGGTTTTCTGTATACGCACACGTAGAATTCCGAACAGTTCGTCGCACTTCTGTAGTGTCCATTCGGTTCTGGGCATAACTTCGATCCGGTGGGTAGTGACGGCTCTGACAAGTAAAAAGAGTAAATTCTTTAAAACTAAAATTATCGTATTAAAATCTATCTATCGTATTTCTTAAACTAGTTATACCATTAAATCGAATTACTGGTAGCTACGATAGTTAACTTCATCAACATTGATTAAATTTTAGATGTGTCGATCATTTTAATTTTGATTGGTTCAATTACTCGTATTTCGAATAACAAAGAATATTATGGTTAACACGCATTATCAGGATCCAATCTCCTTAATCATTCCTTCACTCAAAAAACGTAATTGGCAAGACTTTTACTTACTCGGCGTCGGCATAGGTCGGTTATTGCAATTCACGTTATAATCGTAATCGCAGACGAGGAGAACATCGTTGAAGAGTAATCCATCGGGGCAGGTTTGCTCGGTGACCGTGTCGTCCCAACAATTTAAATAACTGGAGCAGCTCTTCGGGCTTGGAAATTGTCCCCGTGGATTGTAACATCCTGGCGGTGGCGTAGGGACTGGTATCGGTTTAATGGGTCCTGGCAGTTCGTTTGAATCACCAGGAGTAGGAAGGAGAGGATAACTTTGTCTAGTATTAATAAACTCTGTATCCTCTAATTCTGTGTCGTTCGAAGATGACGGATTCTTGTTCCAATCGTTTGCGTGAGTGTCCAATTTTTGTAACTCCACGAGATCCCACACGTTTTCTAAATCTGTCGTGAGGTATAATACAAGTGAAAAAGTGTTCCGAAACTATTCTCCTATTCTTGTATATAGTTTCATATACATTCGGTATTTCTACTTCAATTCACATCATTTACACAACTATTCACATATCATTATATTCACTGAAATTTCACAAATGAACGAATTCCAAATGTCTTATCTAAAAGAACTCCCGAAAATTGAAAATTTCACCGAATTACCGACCTTGCCGTTGAGGGTGTCCAAACTGTCTTCCTCCGACGGCGGACGGTGTAGTGGTGGTTCTCTTCGCTGCATCGCAGAGTCCCAGCGCAAGGGTCGATACTATTATTATTATCAATTTCATGCTGACGTCTAGTGACGGTATCTATGAGAACACCCTGGAGAACGTGTGAACCCGACGTCCTGGATGAGCTCGCGATGATCGTCGAGGTGATCCTTCAGCGAACCTCGTTTATGTCCGAGTCCTTGCGTACGATGTCCTGATGCTGGATGGCCTGGACCTCGTCGGTTCGAGGGCTTACATAGGGCATCCCCCACCACCATTCTGGTTCGTAGGGAGTAGCTTCGCGGAGGACCCCAATTACACGGGCGCAGGACCCTGCGGTGGACTCCTTGCTCAGGAAGTCCACGTTTGTTTCTTTTCTGCGCGGCGCGGTGTGCCGCTCTCGTTCCCGCTGAAAATTCCCCTCCACCTTGCAGCTGTCAGCGGGGTCGAAGACGAGCCGCAAGGACGTATCCGTCGGTTGGATTCTTATTGGAGGAGATTTAGAATGACCGGTCAAGATCGTGCGCCTTCCCCGGTGATCATTCGCTGAATCGTATCTGCGGACGCAAGAAAAAGATTCTTGTAGGGAGGTGGATGACGCGTAGTGGACGGCCGCGTAGGATGTCAAGGTCTTGTCCGGGACGGACGTACTTGGTTAGCCTTTCGGACAATATTCTATAACGGTATTGTCAACAGGCATTTCCCTGTGCATTCAACTTTCCGTTTGTCCTCGTGCACTTGTAAGGTACACTGATGCAGCTGGTTCAATTACCTTTAGATAGTAACTTCTCGTTCTTTTCAAAACAATGATGCAATAGTATAAGAGAAATTGTCTTCATTATGTTTTTCGTTCTCGAGTTAAGACATTTTTGTATGAGATTTCAAGTCACAGTATTAAGACTTGATCAATCACCAGTAGACTGAGGATTTTTATTCAAAATAAAGCATTTGTGATGTTATTTGAAATCTAGATTGATACTTAAAAAATAAAAATGGGTATAATACTTTTAATGCACACTTTTACACGTTACATACATTCTTTATGTATATATAAAATTCGCGATCTATTTATCTTTCCTGAAACTGAAATTTTTATCAGACCATGGCAAATAATCAACGTTATCAGTATTAGACGCGAAGAATACTACTCAGCTGAAAAATTACTTCGAAATTCTAACGTCTGCTTCGCCGGAGGAACTTCCGGTTTCCTCGCCTCCCCGAAATTTCGTGAAGAACTTCGAAGGACGAGGACCGAAAGTCATTGAACTTGTGAATCTCGAATGTTGGAATGCCGAGTTGGAACCAGCATCGAGATTGCTCTTTAGAGGGTTTCTCATTACCAGCGAGTGCATTCCGATATTCAGGCAAGGTACGCGAGGCTCTTGAATGATTCCGCGCGACAACGCTTTCTTCCTGGTCCAATGCCGGTCTGGATATTGCGTGAATTTTATGGCACAGGTTGCCCGGGGACCAGTGCCCGGACTCGTCGTCCTTTTTATTATCCGCAATGAGGAAGATTCCTTCGAATCCGGTGGAACGAGTCAGAAAAAACAGACGAAACCAACGCGAATCCACGTAATCCTAAAATTCAAATATCCGCAACCGATCTCGGGCTCTCCGGGTTTTTTTTGGTAGTACGTCTAGTGACGGTATCTATGAGAACACCCTGGAGAACGTGTGAACCCGACGTCCTGGATGAGCTCGCGATGATCGTCGAGGTGATCCTTCAGCGAACCTCGTTTATGTCCGAGTCCTTGCGTACGATGTCCTGATGCTGGATGGCCTGGACCTCGTCGGTTCGAGGGCTTACATAGGGCATCCCCCACCACCATTCTGGTTCGTAGGGAGTAGCTTCGCGGAGGACCCCAATTACACGGGCGCAGGACCCTGCGGTGGACTCCTTGCTCAGGAAGTCCACGTTTGTTTCTTTTCTGCGCGGCGCGGTGTGCCGCTCTCGTTCCCGCTGAAAATTCCCCTCCACCTTGCAGCTGTCAGCGGGGTCGAAGACGAGCCGCAAGGACGTATCCGTCGGTTGGATTCTTATTGGAGGAGATTTAGAATGACCGGTCAAGATCGTGCGCCTTCCCCGGTGATCATTCGCTGAATCGTATCTGCGGACGCAAGAAAAAGATTCTTGTAGGGAGGTGGATGACGCGTAGTGGACGGCCGCGTAGGATGTCAAGGTCTTGTCCGGGACGGACGTACTTGGTTAGCCTTTCGGACAATATTCTATAACGGTATTGTCAACAGGCATTTCCCTGTGCATTCAACTTTCCGTTTGTCCTCGTGCACTTGTAAGGTACACTGATGCAGCTGGTTCAATTACCTTTAGATAGTAACTTCTCGTTCTTTTCAAAACAATGATGCAATAGTATAAGAGAAATTGTCTTCATTATGTTTTTCGTTCTCGAGTTAAGACATTTTTGTATGAGATTTCAAGTCAGAGTATTAAGACTTAATCAATCACCAGTAGACTGAGGATTTTTATTCAAAATAAAGCATTTGTGATGTTATTTGAAATATAGATTGATACTTAGAAAATAAAAATGGATATAATACTTTTAATGCACACTTTTACACGTTACATACATTCTTTATGTATATATAAAATTCGCGATCTATTTATCTTTCCTGAAACTGAAATTTTTATCAGACCATGGCAAATAATCAACGTTATCAGTATTAGACGCGAAGAATACTACTCAGCTGAAAAATTACTTCGAAATTCTAACGTCTGCTTCGCCGGAGGAACTTCCGGTTTCCTCGCCTCCCCGAAATTTCGTGAAGAACTTCGAAGGACGAGGACCGAAAGTCATTGAACTTGTGAATCTCGAATGTTGGAATGCCGAGTTGGAACCAGCATCGAGATTGCTCTTTAGAGGGTTTCTCATTACCAGCGAGTGCATTCCGATATTCAGGCAAGGTACGCGAGGCTCTTGAATGATTCCGCGCGACAACGCTTTCTTCCTGGTCCAATGCCGGTCTGGATATTGCGTGAATTTTATGGCACAGGTTGCCCGGGGACCAGTGCCCGGACTCGTCGTCCTTTTTATTATCCGCAATGAGGAAGATTCCTTCGAATCCGGTGGAACGAGTCAGAAAAAACAGACGAAACCAACGCGAATCCACGTAATCCTAAAATTCAAATATCCGCAACCGATCTCGGGCTCTCCGGGTTTTTTTTGGTAGAAATACCGTGAGTCACGTCGACTGACCTCAGCAATTGTTTTTCGACACGCGATTCAGAGTTCAGATTTTACTGGAAACAGTTAACTGTCCCCGCGATTTTTGGACATCTCCCGTTTTTGCGAAAGGTCATTACTCCTACGGTTTGATCGTCTTATGCGATAAAATTTCTTTTAATGCTAGGAAGCAGACTAGATCAATTACTCATTTGGTATGGCAGTCTTACGATTCACATGTTTTAACTTAGTTTCGTATACTGTAAATTATAATATATCATTGTAGAAACTCGAAAAGAAGATTATATTTGTAAGCACACATAATTCATATAAATGATGTTCGTGTGTCTTTAAATTAAAAAGTTTTCAAAAACAAATGTTAAGTATATTGCCATATAGGAAAAGCCCGTACATACAGTTGGTAGAACGGCGAACAAATCTGCGGGCCGTGGCGTGCGGAGATAAAATGTGAGACGCTGTGCGTATTCGTGACGAGAATTCGTTAGCCGTTAGATCCGTTTAAGCTTCATAATTTTGCCCGGCTGTGTAGGCTGACACGGGTCAAGCTGTGTTTACTAAGCAGCTCTAAAAATACGGATAAAAATACATTAACTGAAGAAAAATATTCGTATACCATGAATTCCTGATTTCTATTAATAGCAGATTTGTAACTTTTAATAAAACACAAGCGTGAGACAAGTATCGATAGAAATTGACCTTGCATGAATTGAGAAATTTTAAATATGATTTCCATGTATTAGTAAAGAGTACATTATTTATGTATAGCCTGATCGTATTTTGCATATTAATGAATCCTACGTTTTATAAACTTCACTTGGGAGAGACGTCGGATTACGTAAAAAGTATTAAAACTGGCAGTTGAATTTAATCTGACACATATCCTAGAAGCTTACACACCGTTATCGTTAAATCCTAGGATGCACGATTAATCGTATCGGGATCCTTTCCATTTTGCCGTCGCCGAGAATCCGTTTCTACGCGTTGTTCGATCCTTCTCTCCTTTTGCTTCTGTTTCGGTCAGCTTTTCGTTCAACGCAACCAGTTTGTAAATGATAGCCAGCGTCGAGAACGGACAATCGGAAAGAGCTTGTAGCGTGTTACTAAAAACGAAAGAAATAGAAAAATAAACTATGGAAACCGTGATCAGATATATGGACATGAAATCTGGCACACAAAGAACGGGACCCATGACGTGTTATAAAATATGGAAATTGAGTATGCGAGAAAGGAGGCGACAATGAAATAATTTCTAAATTTAAACTACTGGTAGAATTACGAACAATTTATATTTTCCCGTGAGAGACGATTTATAGCACGTTTTACATTAGATAACTACTTTCCGATGCAACGTAAAAGAACAAGAGGAAAGGAGGGATCAGACACGCCAGTTAGAGTTAGCGCAATTAATTTTGGCAACTGATAATTCAAACCTTGAGGTAAAGGATCGCCGGTGCAGGATGTCCAATCAGACTATAAATTTGACACAGCCTACATTACATGGTCCGCCACTTAGGTCCGAATGCGACGGCGATATCTCTTAAAAGGATACGCCCTGGGCACACACGCTCGAACGATGCCTAGGGCATTTATTCGCTAGAGTCCTTAATGCAATATGCATCGTGAAACATTTCAATTCTCCTGACAGATTGTGACGGACACGATTTAAATATGTTTAGGTTTTCATATTAGCTCTGATACAGTTAATATAAAATTCTACTATTGTGTCTGAATGGATCTTTTTCTTTTCATTTTCATGGGAAATAATAAGGGAATTTTACAACATTTGAAATGCATGCAGAGATAATTTGCTGATCCTCTAAGTATTGAAAGACACTGCAGATGAAAGAATTGAAACTGGTATAGTTGGACTACTTTCTACCTGTTAAGTAGTTACAACGTAGATTACATATGTTGTAATCCTAGAATAGTGCATATGGTTTTTCCTTTTAGTAGCATAGTAAGTACGAGAGAAAGTAAAATCGCGTCTCGATAAGCGTAACTTTTTTATAAAGACAAGAACCAGAGCTTACGTGAAAACTTGAACTGTTTCCTTTAATTTCATGTAATATATCAGTTTTATTTTAATCACTTTACGCATTAAAACACGAAACTAAACGATTAAGAAGTGAAATCTTAATCGCGAAAATAATTAATCGATACTTATCGTATTTTGAACGTTTCTAATTTATTTATCTACTAGTTAAGGATGTATAG